AACATCAGTATTTTTTCCATGTGGATGACAGCATCATTACTAGAAATGGATGCAAATTTCATAGCACTTTCCGCTAAGTCCTTAATTTCGATTTCTACTCCTTGGTGCGGTTGTGAATATCTTGTAGCCTGGTATATGGGACAGATAGTTGAACCCTTCTGATTAATAAATATTCGCAACCATGTGGCAGATGGGAAGGTATTCCTTAGCATCTTAGCTAGATTTTTCCTGTTCCTGTTTCCATAAACTTCTTTCAGGGGCGCCTTCAAAAGCGTTCCCTGGAAATCCATCAGCAGTTTGACCAGAATGATGGTCAGTAGTGCAGGAAGAAGTTTTTTCTTTTGGTTGCTTGTCCAGTTTTGTGACCGTTTTTCTTTTAACATGGAATACACCAATTATAAGACATGTTTTTGAAGTGATGCCTTCTTTAGATTAGGGCTGGACGATATGGCCAAAATTTATATCACGATATATTTCTTAATTTCGGTCGATACGATATAATTCTGATATCGATATGAACACTATTTATCTGAAATAGAAATATTTTGTAACATTATAAATGCCTTTATCATCACTTTTGATCCATTTTAAGCATCCTTGCTAAATAAAAGTATTAATTTCTATAATTGTTTCCCCCCAAAAAATAATAAAAATTATACTGAATGGAATAGTGTAAAATGTTACAAAATATGTTTACCATGTTTCAGAATTTGTTGTGAGTGTATGAGTGTGAGATTTCCCGGCCTGAAATTTTTTTCCCAGTTCGCCCCTCGTGGAAATTAATGGCGCAGACATGCGGTTTCATTTACTACACATAGGCCTACTGAAGCTCACGGTGTTTGCAGCCTCTGCCGCCTCACTATATGAGAACATGAACACATAAACATAATCTCTAAAACTGCTCTGAGTCACTTCATGAGCATTTTACTTATTTTGATAAAACTATCATCATATCATATACAAAGAGACACCAATGTTTCAAAAAGACACCAATGTTTCAGGAGTTTAGTACACAGAATAGGACACATGCTTATTAGATAACTGCATTTGAGTTGATGTATATGCTTTTATTTATTATTATTTTTTAATTAACTATTTTTTTTCCAAACCATTGTTAGATGCATTGTTTCCTGTAGTTATGCAAAGATTTGGTTTCAAAAACAGAATCAGTAAACTATTTCTTATGATTTTAAATCTGCATTGAACTTCAGATCAATCTTAAAGTAAAAGGCGGTACTAAAGTCTGATTTTGTGGTGGATGTGTTCAAATTTCAACATTTTAATTCAAGTGATGAAGGATTTTGAAAGTCTGACAGTGTTGAGCACTACTGTAAGGTTAACCCTGCATGGTGTAAATGTTTGAAAATGATTAATAGTTGCAAATAAACATTCATTAGAAATGTATAAAAGTAATCAAAAAGTAATCAGTTAAATTGCTTTAATAAAGTAATTGAAAAAGTTACCCTACTATTACGTTTTAAATATAGTAACTTGTAATCTGTAACCTATTACATTTCCAAAGTAACCTTCCCAACACTGTTTAGAATAGTATAATATTGCATGTAATATAATCAGTATTTCAGCTAAATGTTAATGCAGTAATGCTAATTACTGTTTTCTTGCAGACAACAACAAAAAATAAATAAAAAACAGTATTTCAAAATGTAACCAAAATTGAGAATATTTAATCTTCTCATTGCATAAAGTAAATATTATACTAAATTGCTATTTTAAATCTTGTAAACCATCATAGCTTACCTTTGGTGGTAAAACTGCAGTCTGTATTTTCTCTTTATAATGTCCTCTGTAAACCCAATTGCATGGCATATGTTTGATCCTGCGCACTTCTGCAATGTAGACACACTTTACTATACAGCATCTGTACATGTAGCCATGTTTTCTAAGAACAGACTAAAGTAAAGCCCAGTCCTGGCACAGTATTTCTTGACATGGAGTACTATCTGGAGTCCTAAATGTTTTCTGCAGTTGGAAATGCTTAGGAACTACAGTAAGGAGAGACAAAGACAACCACCATAACCTCATCACGCCATAGGCTCCAGCAACATTTCGTTTGCTGCTTCAGGTCATTAGACAGGAAGGTCACACCATGTCTGTAACAACGTTCGTAGTTCGGGAAGAAGGAGGCGAGAACCGGTGAACGTTTAAACAAAACTTTAATAATAAAATAAACACAAAATAGTGCGACAGCCCATCGCGGACGACTGCCGCGCACAAACAGAACCAAAACACAAAATAAAATCCAGGCCTGGTCCTCTCTTGTCCAACACTGTCGTGACTCCTCCTTTTATCCTTCCGGAGCTCCTCCGTGGGACTCGAGACCGGTGAGTGGCGCAGGTGTCGCTCATGAGCATTTACTCCACCGGCCTCGCTCCGTTCCCACGGCTCTAGGCCCCACCCCTCTCGTCACATACCCCCATCGCCCTTTGCAGGCCGGGGGGTACCCACGAGACTGTGCTCTACTCCCCCCCTCCCCCCTCCGGGGGAGCCGATCACGGCGGCCGCGGCGTCCCTGGGGATAAGGACAGACAGACGAGGCGAGAGAAAAGGAGACGGAAGGATGAAGAGAGACAGAGACGAGAGAGGGGAGAAAGGAAAAAAATAAATTCTTGTTCAGGTTCCCAGACACACTGCCACTCGGCCCTCCACCAGCTGGGTAAACTCTTCCGCGATGCCTGGCGGCGCCACTGGATAGCCCTCGGTGGACGGCCCGACACTCCTCCACCGCCCGGTGGACGGCGACGGCTCCTCTGGATTCGGGCAGCTGGCAGGAGTCCCCCGTTCCCTGCTCCTCCCCATCATGGCGGATGGCAGCAGGCTCCGGCCTCAGGCGAACGGCGGCGATTTCTCCGCTCCCTCACGGACGGCAGCCGTCCCTCCACATTCCAGGCGACCGGCAGCGAATTCGTCCGCCCCCCTGGCAACTCACTCCAGCCCACCGCCTCCAGCCTCCATGGCGGCAGACTGCTCCGCCATGCTCGATGGCACCCGAGACTGCGCTCTACTCCCCCCCTCCCCGCTCCGGGGGAGCCGATCACGGCGGCCGCGGCGTACCTGTGGGTAAGGACAGACAGACGAGGCGAGAGAAAGGAGATGGAAGGATGAGGAGAGACAGAGATGAGAGAGGGGAGAGAGGGGAAAAAAAATTATTGTTCCGGTTCCCAGACACACTGCTGCTTGGTCCTCAACCGGCTGAGAGGCTCTCACTCGCGGTTCCATGCGATGGTACTGGACATCTTTGGTGGACGGCCCAACGCTCCTTTGCCTCCTGGCGGACGGCGATGGCTCCTCCTGTTGAGGGCAGCCGGCAGCGAGTCCCCCGTTCCCTGCTCCTCACCAATCATGGCGGATGGCAGCAGGCTCCGGCCTCCTGGCGAACGGGGCCGACTCCTCCGCTCCCTCTCGGATGGCAGCCACCCCTCCTCAACCCAGGAGCACAGCAGCGAGCTCTCCGTCCCACCTCGTCTTCCATCGCTCCAGCACCACCGCCTCGGGCAGCCACCGGCGGTCTCTCCGCTTCTTCCTGCTGCCCGATCTCCTCAGTACCGCGACCCCCCTCAGCAGCGAGGGCTCTCTGACAGCGTGTCCCTCCTTCTTCCCGGGTTTCGGCACCAATGTAACACAGTTCGTAGTTCGGGAAGAAAGAGGCGGGAACTGGCGAACATTTAAACACTTTAATAAAATAAACCAACACAAAATGAAAGTAAAGCGGCCTTGCGGACGACTGCCGCACACAGTGGCGCAGGTGTCGCGCATTAGCATTTACTCCACCAACCTTGCTCCGTTGCCACGGCTCTCGGCCCCGCCCCTCTCGTCACAGTGTCCTTATCTTTGTTTTATCTGAGTCTCTGGGTTTTACTATATACATATGATAAGAAATAAGGCGTTTACTGCACTGCAACTGGTGGCTATAATGTTGCCCATATCAACACACACATCAGAATTACAGTTCCAGCTTATTTTAATGTGGAAATTTATTGTAGGTCATGCAAACTAAGTATAGAACTAGAATTCTAGAACAGTGAGAAACACAACCATAATTAATTCTAATTAACTAAAAGGAGCATCATTATCAATATACCTGCTGTATAATGCTGTGAAAATGATCCTCAATCATTATTAAATGTTAAAGTCAACGTGAAACGGCAACAGCAGCCCATTTTAATTTTGTAATGTGGTGGTTTTTTTCATTAGAAGAACTATTTGTGACCCTGGACCACAAAACCAGTCTTAAGTTGCTGGGGTATATTTGTAGCAATAGCCAATACATTGTATGGGTCAAAATTAATGATTTTTCTTTTATGCCAAAAATCATTAGGATATTAAGTAAAGATCATGTTCCATGAAGATATTTTGTAAATTTCCTACTGTACATATATTAAAACTTAATTTTTGATTAGTAATATGCATTGCTAAGAACTTCATTTGGACAACTTTAAAGGCGATTTTCTCAATATTTAAATTTTTTTGCTCCCTCAGATTCCAGATTTTCAAATAGTTGTATCTCGGCCAAATATTGTCCTATCCTAACAAATCCATACATCAATGGAAAGCTTATTTATTCAGCTTTCAGATGATGTATAAATCTCAATTTCAAAAATGGACACTTATGGCTGGTTTTGTGGTCCAGGGTCACATTTGTGTGAAATAATTATTTAAAGAGAACAAGAGACAGCTTTGCTTGTTGAGAAAATGTATTGTGTTTTTAAGGATGTTTAGATATATTTATTTGCAAGGCAATAAACACTGATTTATAAACAAGGCAAAATTAAAAACATTTACCAAATGACTTTCATATAAGCGACTGGTCAAATAAATAATATAGGCTACTGTAAATAAATACAGAATTGAACAGGGCAAGAATATTTTCAGAAATGAATCTGAATTCATCAAGTTTCTTTTGGTAAAACTGTCCTTCACTATAAAATGTTTTGCTTCTAATATGTGATGTATTTTTATCCATTGTCATGTCCTGTGATATTTCATACTCCATGTCCAAAGTGGTTCATTGTACGTTTCATTTTGCCGTTAAAGTAGTATAAATTATAATTTTCCTCTGCACTGAGTTCACTGTTGTGTAACTTTTGTGTAGTATATTTACTGTGATTAATGATTTCATTTAGTTGAAGAGGGCTCTGTTTTTGGAGTTCTGATCTGGCATTACGTGGTTTGTTGCTAGCAGAGAAATATGAGAGCGTTGAAGATGTGGTGTAGTTTTCTTTTTCTAATATCATCCTCTTAAGGCATCTCTTCAAACCAGTGCTAGTACGGTGAATGAGCACAGAGCACAGGCCTGCAATCATATCTGAAGTTAGGGGGCGTTTGCTGCTTGTTGTGACTTTGGAAAAGTCACGTTTTGCTTCTTTGACTTGCATTGTTGTTGTCGTCACACATGGCATTGGGGTGTCTAGGAGGTCCTCTATCTTTTCCCCTACGGAAAAGCTGTCTGGAATTTCATCTAAGCTGTTCAGGTTTAAAGGTCCTGCGATTTGATGATTGAAGAAGGTTTGCATGGGGTTGGCCAAAAATACTTTAGAAAGAATCCTGACAAGTTGCTTCACCTTCAGCCATTTCCACTTACATTTCTCCTGACTGTTTTGGACAAGAGCTCCTTCAAAACTAAGCCCCTTCACATTTGTGTGATGATACGTGGTCCAGCGAATGTAGCCCGTGTTGTGCCAGTTTCCCTCTTCGTGAATGTATTTCACATTGAGATGAAAAACACCACTTAAAATATGTGTTGTTGATGGGGAGGGTCTTGAGGTCACTTGAGGAGGGAGTGAATGCAACTTTCCTCTGAGCATATCCTCAACAGCCTGTCAGGAACAAAAAGAACAATGGCAAAAATAATAAGTGTGAATTAAAAAAAAATCTAGAGTGTATTAATTATGAAATTAATAATTCATTCATTATGAAATATTCAGTAAGCAAGGATATCAAAGGTTTCTTTTTTATCACTTGATCTTGCTTTGAATTTTACTTTACATATGAAAATGTTATTTTTTTTTTATGTTAACTTCATGCTTTAATCTATCAAATGACAGATAATTAAATAGTTTATAGAGAACCATTTGTTATGGAAATGTATGCTTAAAAGTATTGTTCACCCAAATCTCACTCACGTGGAGCACAAGAAGGTGAATAATTGATTTTAATCGTATGTTCACAGATATTCATTACTCCAGAAAGGTGTAGTCAGAAAATACTTTATGCTATTTTTTATTATTCAAGAGACATTATCGAAGGATAAAATGCAAGATCTTACCGATGGTGATATATACCAAGTTGTGATATTCTTCAAGAGATCATGCTCTGACAAATCAGGGACTCCAGTATGTCTTATTTTATATGCCCAAAAAACTGGCACATGTTTTAAAGTTGGAAAAATAGCAATGGAAATACATTTCTCTTCATTACATCTACAACAGAAGTCCACTGAAGCTTTTTTAAGAAGCAGTCGAAGATGGGTCCATCCCTTGTAAAAGTGCCCTTCGCAATTATTCCACTTTTCATTGCGGTGATCCAGCTGAAATATCCCACCCCACACATACAAGCACATTGAGGCGAAGCTGAGGTGCCATTGTAGCTTCATCGTGGCTCTTTCTCAACAGCTGTCTGGAAGCTGTTGAGCTTATGCGAAAAGCTCTTATCTTTGTTTGATTTCTTCATATACACATGACTCGCTGTGCTCTGCCATAGGAAGCCAGTCATCTTAAAACTCATTAATGACCAAAGCTTAACAATTCAAAGTGTTAAGTGTGCATTGACAAAGTGTGCATTGACATTTGCATGTGATTATGAATGAGTGCGGACGTTCTGTATTCAAAGTCTCCCAGGGCTCTGACGCACTTGATATCTGACCTGAAACAGCACAGAAAGCACACCTGAAACTCTGCACCTGCGGAGGTAGGAATGATGTTATTCTGCTAGATTTGGCACACACATGTATAGACCAAATACATTTCTTTTTGTGTGTGTGTGTGTGTGTGTGTGTGTGTGTGTGTGTGTGTGTGTGTTCTTCACACTTGTGCTGATAGAACCATGCAAATATTTGAAGTGTTAGTGACCCTGAGCAGAACAAAAATTCCATCAAAATTTGATTCAGAGCCACAGCTTTTAATAACGACTATACGAACACCACATTTGATCAGAGGGGTATTGTTGTCTTTCAGTTTGTGACCAAATCCAGGAATTGAATTGAAATTTAAAAGGCATTCTCGGTTCAATTGTAAAACTCTGGTTACTTACGCTGTACAACTGATGCTGTTATATTTGATGTTTGCATTACACATTTTGTATTCTACTATCATTAGGAACATTACAGACAATGGGCAATGAAAACGCTAAAACGAATGTGATAAACAGGAGCAGCAGGAATGTACGAGCATTTATAAGTCAAGAGAAGCTGGACGTTGAAGCCTTCATTTCAAAATACAACGGCCAAAATGTTATGGACACCCTGCTGCCACATTCTGCAATAAAGAAGTTTTGCTTTCGACCTGACGTCCCAAGCTACCGTATTCTAATTTCTGAAATTGGTGAGCTTCCTTGGGAAAAGAACCAGTATATTTCACTGTTCATTGAAGATGAGGACGATAAGGAAATCTGTATTAAGCACGTCTGTCTCTGCATACCTTTACCTTATGAAGCTTCAATTTTAATATATGATATATGATGAGTTAGACACGCTGTCTGTTTGTTTACCTCACTATATGACAGTCATCCCATCCTGCTTTGTTGTATTTCACCATTAAGTTTAATATCTCTTCGTAGCAGTTGCTTTTCAGAACGAGTCAATAAATATAGCTGAACAATGCAGATCTTTGTACATCTTATGTTTTTAAAAGCAGCAAGAACATTACATGACCATGAAAATACACCGCACAATTTCTCTAATTCAAAAAGTGAGAAAATGCCACACTATAAGAAAACACACAATCATTCCCTCATGTGGGTTGATTTCATGCAAATGTAAGTAAGTGACTGGCAGATGAAGGCCACCCAGTACTTTTACAGACACTGTACTTTTATCATGATTTATAAATTACAGTCATCTCCTTTTTAAATTCTTGGATCATGCCAGCCATTTAGTTCATGTCTCCTGTCCAGTGTGGAGAAACGTGCCATTTAGATAAAGGTTGAGTAGTAAGATAGTCAACTCTTACTGGCATTTTAAAAGACGTATCATGTTGTATTTGTATTCTATCTGCTCTCACGACAGCTTATGTGAAAGAACATAAGGCGTGGCATCGTAAAAATTCTAAAGACACGCTTCATCACAGAGTGACACTAACGCCCTTTGTGGTGCTCCGTCTGTATGACACAGCAAAAAATACAAATTTGCAATGCATTCTGTATTTAGGGCTTCAGTAGTAGCATATGCTGTTTATTATTTTTAATGGTTTAGTACCTAAAGCAATGGCCTAAAGAACAGCAGGGTGATTTATTCCGTACTCAAATCAGAGACATTACTATAATATATTAAGTTTTGAAGTTTTTGAAAAAACGTATTTTCACCTTTGTAAACATCAAAATCATTGTGGGTGCAAGAAAGCCTTTGTTATAGGTATAAGCCAGAAATCGGATTAGCCTGTATAAAACAGTTTATAGCACATGAATAATATCACTATATATTCCTTGAGACACCATTATAGTTATGTACACTTAGGCTCATTTTCCACCTCCCCTAGAGTTAAACAGTTGAGTTTTACCGTTTTCGAATCCATTCAGCCGATCTCCGGGTCTGGCGGTAGCACTTTTAGCTGTAGCTTAGCATAGATCATTGAATCTGATTAGACCGTTAGCATCTCGCTCAAAAATGACCAAAGAGTTTAGATATTTTTCCTATTTAAAACTTGACTCTTCTGTAGTTACATCGTGTACTAAGACCGACGGAAAATGAAAAGTTGCGATTTTCTAGGCCGATATGGCTAGGAACTATACTCTCATCCTGGCGTAATAATCAAGGAACTTTGCTGCCGTACCATGGGTGCAGCAGGCGCAATGATATTACTTCCGTCAACATAACCAACTACGAAAACTTAGTGCCGGTCACGTTGGAAGTTACCTAGCTGGGGACTATTTTCAGGCGCTGGAAAAATATAGAAACTTTTTGGTCATTTTTGATGACTCCAGACCCAGAGATCGGCTGAACAGATTCGAAAACAGTAAAACTCAACTGTTTAACTCTAGGGGAGTTGGAAAATGAGCCTATTTTCAAAAATAGGGGAGTGTTCCTTTAAGACAAGCACAACAAAACATCTTTTAAACTTTAAAGAAGAATGAGTTAATAGCATGACCATGACTAGCATAACATCTCTCAAAAATCTGGGGCTGGACGCATAAAAGAAAGTCACGGAGAGAAACGGGAGATATTGTGCACATTGAATGGCTTGAACATAAAAAGAAAGGTAAGAATTTTGTAATTAAAGAATTGAAATAGAAGCTTTTATAAACTTTTTGTCATTACACAGCTTTATTAGACCGCTGGTATTGGCGGCTGAAGAATTGAAAGCTATTGAAGATGAAAACCTTAAATATAAAGAACTATTTAAATATTAAAGATATATGTTTTGCTCTGAAATATATTAATCCGGTCATTTTCTGTCTCTGTTTTAGATGCGTTTCCCTGTGTCCTTCTATGTGCTGAGTGTGTGGCTGGGGTTTTTGTGTGTGATGTTCGTGTGTCTGTGGAGTGGGACCTGGAGATGAGGATTTGCCTGGGATGAGTCTTTTCTGCAGTTTAACTTGCACCCGGTCCTCATGGTGACGAGTCTCGTGGTGCTGTATGGAAATAGTGAGAGGAAACACTTCTCTTTCTGTCTCGCATGTACAAACACCTTCTCCCTCTTGTTTTTAACTGGCAGACTTCTTCTCTTTTTTTCTCATGTTTACGGTCTTGCTCCATCAAAAATAGTCCTATAGGAAGAATCACAAATTATTTCTGTTTAATATCATATATGTTTTTCCAAGACGGCACTGAGATTAAATGGAGATCAAATTGAGATTTGTCTTAAAAAATAAATAAATAAATAAATAAAAAAAAATATATATATATATTCTGTCATCATTTACTTACCGCACAGAATGTCCCAAAACTATGTGACATTCTTTCTTTTGTCGAACCTGATGTGATCTGTCAGTGCTTTCAAAGTGCCCAAACGTATCTGAAGTGTGTAAGTAATATTTTCCACCAAATTTAACGACAAACTGTCAGGTAGATGCGTAATGATATAACAGGGATTTAATTAAACACAAACAGCTGTGCTCGTCTCTAATGGACAGTCTTTCAAGCTGCGTATGGCATAGTTAATTTGCAATATGAATAGTGAGTGAAAGGTGTTTGTTTGTGAAGTATAGATGTAGAGATGAGGTACAGTATTCAATAAACTTTTTATTTTAATTCTAGCTGCGAAATGATGTTTTAAACTCAGAAGTAAAGAATTACATGGGGGAAAAGATCAACAATTACCATTATCAGATGGTAATACTTTGATATGCCATGAGAGAGATGACCATTTTCATATTTCATATTATTATTTACACTACAATTACACTACACTACTTGAAGTCAATATGATGTTTTAATGTATTTGAAATGAATGTATTTGATCAAAAATACAGCAATAACAGATATATTGTCAAATATTACTACAATGTAAAACAACGGTTTTCTTTTTGAATATACAATATTTTAAAATTTAAGTGATTCATATGATGGCAAAGCTGAATTCTCAGCATCATTACTCCAGTCTTCAGTGTCACATGATCCTTCAGAAATCATTCTAATATGCTGATTTGGTGTTTAAGAAATATTTGTTATTATATATATTGAAGAGTGCCATCTGAAAATTTCTTCTAAAATGAGCATTTTTATCAGGCTCCTATGTTTATGTTCATTTATTTCATTTTAATGGCATAGAATAGAACCTATACATTGCCATTAAAGTGAAATTTCTGAACCTAAACATAGGAGCCTGATAAAAATGCTCATTTTAGAAGAGAGCACTTAGAGGCTTAGAGGCTCTTAGGCACTTAGAGGGTTATGCATCTGAACTCTTTATATATATACAGTGGGTACGGAAAGTATTCAGACCCCCTTAAATTTTTCACTCTTTGTTATATCAAAAGGGTGCTTCTACTAAATACTGAGCAAAGGGTCTGAATACTTAGGACCATGTGATATTTCAGTTTTTCTTTTTTAATAAATCTGCAAAAATGTCAACGATTCTGTGTTTTTCTGTCAATATGGGGTGCTGTGTGTACATTAATGAGGAAAAAGAATTAACTTAAATGATTTTAGCAAATGGCTGCAATATAACAAAGAGTGAAAAATTGAAGGGGGTCTGAATACTTTCCGTACCCACTGTATATATATATATATATTGATGAATAGAAAGATTAAAATAATGTTTATTTGAAATATAATTTTATTCTTAGAATAAATAAATAAATACATTTAAAAAAATCTTACTGACCTGAAATTTCCTTTACTTTAAAAGAAAAAAGGAATTCCAGGCATATTATTTTGATACATGGTACAGTTCGTGTTTATGCCATGTCCAAAGACACTTATTGTGAATACAAATTTTTACAGTTTTCTCTTTTTCTCTTTGTCCTGCTCTCTCTGTGTCTGTTTCTCTCTCTCAGCCATAGTCCTGTATCGTGTTCCTCTCACCTGGAGCAGGTGGTGGTGTAAGCGGGCCCATGCAGGGCTGTTGTTTGTGGCCATGGTGCTGTCTGTGCTAGGAGTGTGTGCTGCTTTTGATTTTCACACTGCCAACAACATCCCTCATCTGTATTCATTACACAGCTGGACTGGGATCTCCACAGTGGCCCTATTCACTTTGCAGGTACAGTATACATGGTCAAGCCTGATTGAAATGTCATAGTATTTTCATTGCTTCATGCTTAGTAAAGCTCCATGAGTATGTTCTACTCCATCAAATTTTAAAGAAATGATGATTGACATGGTCTCCTGTGCCTTTCTCCTCTGATTGAATAGTGGTTTGTGGGTCTTTGTGCTTTCTTGTTGCCCTGGACCCCTTTGGCTTTTAGAGCCCGTCTGAAACCTCTTCACATCTGGATGGGCATTGCCATCTTCATCCTGAGTCTCATCACCAGCCTGTCTGGGATCAATGAGAAACTACTGCTGACACTGTGAGTGACAATCCTATTATCACAACCCTGTAGCTGCAAGAAATGGCTGTGATTTATCTTATTCAGATACATAATAATGTTTTCTCTTTGAATTAGCTGAGTAGGAGGCTCTTATTATGGTGAAACCATCCTCTAATGGTCTGTTTTTATTATGGCTGAGATGTTTGTAGCTGTTTCAGTGTTTCCAACCGACTGTGTCTCAGCAGAAATGGGAGAAATGGAAGCAATACCAAACCATATACGGCACTGCCTGCTGAAGCTCTGTTTGCAAACTCATTAGGCATTGCAGTTGTTATTTTTGGATTGTTAGTGCTGAAACTTCTGTCCAGTCAGAAATGGAAGAATCCAGAGTCTGAGATTGAAACTGACAGAGTAAGTATATGATGACATTCACTTTAAGATGCCAAAAATGAATTGTAAGTATAAACACTACTGTTTAAAAGTTTTTTTTTAACTTAATACTTCTATTCAGCAAGTATGCATTAAATTGATCAAAACTGACAGTAAATACATTTATCATTTATATAAATAATACAGATTTCAAAAGGTTTCTATTTCAAATAAATGCTGATCTTTTGAACTTTTTATTTTTTTATTTTTTTTTACACACATATACAGTGTGTGTGTGTGTGTGTGTGTGTGTGTGTACAGTCATGGCCAAAAGTTTTGGCCTCCAAAGAAACACGTGCAGCCATCCTCTCTTTGCATCAAAATGGCCTCACATGCAAGGAAATTGCTACAAAGGATATTGCACCTGAAAGAACCATTTACCAGATCATCAAGAACTTCAAGGAGAGAGGTTCGACTGCAGTGAAGAAGCCTTCAGGACGTCCCAGATTGTCCAGCAAGCACCAGGACCGTCTCCTCTTGAGGAGTCAGCTATGGAATCGGCAGCAGGTTGGTGTGAGAGCATCTGCAAGCACAGTGAGGCCAAGACTTTTGGACAACGGCCTGGTGTCAAGAAGGGCAGCAAAGAAGCCACTTCTCTCCAGACTGAAATTCTGCAGGAAGTACAGGATTGGACAGCAGAAGACTGGTGCAAAGTTATTTTCTCTGATGAAGCTCCCTTCCGGCAGTTTGGGACATCTGGAAAATCGATTGTTTGGAGAAGAAAAGGTGAATGCTACCATGAGTCTTGTGTTGTGCCAACAGTGAAGCATCCTGAGACCATCCATGTGTGGGGTTGCTTTTCAACCAAGGGAGTGGGCTCTCTAATAATTCTGCCCAAAAACACTGCCTAATAAAAAGTTTAAAGATTAAAAGGAAATCAGAACCAAATCAGCATATTATAATAATTTCTGAAGGATCATGTGAAGGATCACTTCAGCTTTGCAATCACAGGAATAAAGGACATTTTAAAATATATAAAAATGGAAACAGTTATTTCAAATTGTAACAATATTTTACAATATTACTGTTTTAATGTATTTTTGACCAAATAAATGTAGCCTTGGTGAGCATAAGATACTTTTTAAAAACATTTGCATGGTAGTATATATTTGTTGTCTACATTTTTATTTTACATTTTGTAAAAGTTTGCTTTTGTAACATTAAAAATTAAAAGTGCTGAATAGAGAGGCAATGGCTGAATTTATGTTTTATTTTAATGTGATTTGTAGGCTTTGCTGACAGATGCCAGATGAAGACTGGAGTAAACAAACAGAAACATGTTGTGTATATCACAATTATACAAATCACTTTTTGACTCTGTGGCAGCTGGTTTTATGCTTGCTTCATTTACACATCCAAAACAAATGGAGTGCCCAGTTGATTGACATGCAATAGAACCTTATCAATGTGAGAGACAGACCTCTTGTGGTTAGTAAGACAATTGCAAGAAAAAGTAATAATAAATTGATCTTACATTTATTAAGTGTTGCCTTCCAAGTCAATATTTTGGTGTATCTATCTGTTTTCGATTTTATATTGTGATGGTGTTGAATATAAGAAAAGTGGAGATGCCGGGGATTGAACCCGGGGCCTCATACATGCAAAGCATGCGCTCTACCACTGAGCTACATCCCCTTTAAACTACAAGGAGTTTAGGTGGCTATAAGGGCTTTGTAGAGTTACATTCTTTAGGTACGTAGGACATAACAAAATGTAATATTATTACTTCAGCAAAACATTTTTTCTTATAGCAATTTAAAAAAAACTACACATCCTTAACTATACTCTAATAATTCGTAATATATATATATAAACAAATAGTAGACCTATAGGAACACTATTAGTAATTTAAATAAAACATTAACGTGTCTGAACCTTAAGGCTGCTTTAAAGATTTGTGGATAGTTAATGCATTGGATTTTTTTTTTTTTTCATTTTATAGGCTACTAGTGTAAGTTACGCGAAGCCATCGTTGTGTGGCGCCGACATCTCCTATTCATCGCTTACGGTGCTGATTGGTTTAAAATTCCACCATAACTAATGAAGGCCAATGAAATTAATTTACGTTGAACTCTAAGACTGACAGCTCGTCATTGCATTCATCGGTGTTATGTGACTGGAAACTCGCAGGTGAATGTGTGTACACACAGATGACGAACCACACACAAGCGCTTTGAAATGGGATGTTTCATAGACTAAAGATTACGACAAACGCGGCGGACAGCGGAATTTAAATCGGATTTCTATATCATATCAAAAGCATGTCCGCTTTTGTGGTGAGTGAAAGGTTAAACGTGAAATGCTGTGAGTTGTGTGTTAGCTTGCTAAAGTTGTTAGCTTGATTAAATGTACAAAAGCTGCTTGCAGCTTTAAAGTTTTTGGACCAATGTGATTCAGTGCAGTAACGTTAGTCAAGATTTGCATAATCAACGTAATATTATTAATATGATTTTATAACGACCCATTATTTTATTAATTTAGCTAGTTGCAGGCCTTATGAAATACATGTAAATTGTTAGTTATGCTGTAGGCCAATTTTAGCAAATGTAATTCGTTACATTAATAATTTTGCAAACGAGAATTGAGATAATAATGGTGGTAATAATTTCTCATAATGTTAAACGTAACACCATGGGCCAAGTTTCATTGGTTTTCAGCGGCAACGCTTATGTTTACCGCTTACCGCTAGGGGCTTTTAAAGATTGAAGAAACGTATCTTAAAGGGGTCCTATTATGCTTTTTCACTTTTTTAATTTTAGTCAGTGTGTAGTGTGTATGTTTGGGCATAAAAAAGATCTAGAAAGTTACAAATCTTAAAGTCCACTCCAAAGGGAGATATTTCGTTTTTAAAAAATCCCTTTTCAAGAACTACAACGAACGGCTCGTTTGGACTACAGCGTTTGTTTTCAGGGCTTTGTGATATCACAAAGCGGCTCATTGGAATATCATTACAAATAATTCCCGCCTACAGAAATTCGAGTGGTTGGGGGGTGGGGAGGGGCGAGGTTGTGGTTAGAACGCTTGGTTGAGTGAGAACAATTCTTACAAGTACAACACGACGTAGCTGGGCGCCGCGGACAGACGCCGAACGGGGCCGACGGTGTGCCTACACTCAGAGAAAATAATGTATTTGAATTTTAAATATGTGGCGCGACGCGACGCTGCGCTTCTCGTCCATGCGCGACCGCCTGAAACGCTGTTTTTTTCACCTCCGTGCCCAAACGTCTTTGTTTTGGCTTGTGAAAAATAATGCGTTTTTCGAACCACCAAGCATGAGAGCATGTTCTAGTAAACCCCCAAAACAAAATCAAGACTTTGTAAAAGAGCATAATAGGACCCCTTTAAAACAAAATGTAAATGTGTAAAGCATCTGCAATGCAAAATATAATGTGTAAACACATTTTGCATGTTTATTCGAGCTAAATAAACTACATAATCAGGGCTATTTATAAAGTTTGTGTGTGAAATAGGGCTGCATTAAGACCTCACTGGGCCCTGGGGCTATGACTTACTGCAGGGCCCCCATCACAATGATATATACACTGTAAAAAAAATTCCGTAAAATTTACGGTAAAAAACCGGCAGCTGTGGTTGCCGGAATTTTACCGAAAATACTAGCCTAAGTAAAAACAAACTTACTGAAGACAAACAGTCATGAATTACAACAGAACAAAGAAATTGACCTATATAAACACTTAAAGCACTGGATAAGAAATATTATATTGTATAAAATAAATAGACTGAATAGTCTTCACTGCATAAATTCAATATACATTATTTTACAAAAGCGATTCGGTCAAGGACAGTGAGTGATTTTCTTTCTAATGTTTAATTTACATTATTGACACAAATAGCAACAGCAGCTATATTAGGCTGCTTTGGAGGAATAGTTCACCCAAAAATTAAAGTTATGTTGTTGTTGTTCTAAACCTGAATGAGTTTCCTTCTGCTGTTGAATGCAAACGTATATATTTGGAACAATAGCCTACTGGTAACAGTTTCTGTGCCCCCATGACTTCCATAGTATGAAAAAAATATATACTCCAAACAATATTGGAGTCAACAGGGACCCGAAACTTTCTGGTGGTTACGAATATTCTTCAAAATATCTTCTTTCATGTTGAGGAGAACAAAGAAACATACAGGTTCAGAACAACTTAACGGAGTAAATTATAACAGTATTTTAATTTTTGGGTGAACTATATCCCTTTAAAATCTCATCATATAATGCCAGGATCTCATAATAGCCAACTAGTGCACATGCTTTATCTTTAACTATTAACGTTCATTTAAGACACAAATGACTGTGTTGACGAGGAGACAGGCATTTTGACACATAACTATGTGTATTCGAACGTTTAAACACAAGGTGCGAAAAATAACTCTTAGTTTAGTCAGGCGCTGTACGAGCAGGTGCGCTCCGCGCGTATCAGAAACCGTCTTAATGCACGCATTTGCCAAAATTAATTCTGCCCCACTGCTTAATGTCCCTGAACTGTTAAATTCGTTTTTAAACCAAAAATGCTTTAAATGCGTTTAAATGAAAAGCCTACATCATGACGCGCAAAATTAATTTCTCAACCCATAAGCGAATATACTAGGCCTATAGAGTTTGTTCATTCTGTGTGAAATAAAGGGGGGGTAACGGGTTTCGGTAACGTGTAACCCTGCCTTGTCAGATTTAGTGACCCTGCTGTACATCTGCATCTGTTCACATCAGAGCAAAATTCATTCTAGGATTTACAATAGAGTGGGTTAGACATCACCAGAGTGAATTTGGGTAACATATTTCAATGAACTTTAATACTGCCTTGTTAGATTTGGTGACCCTGCTGTACATCTGCAGTAGAATGGTAAAAAGCAGTAACTCTTGGATTTGTCCCAGTTAAAACAAAATAAAAAAAATGTGTCTTTATGTATTTAGAAACAAAAAAATATTTATGTATTTCAAGTCAAGTCAGCACCAGTCCTAAACAGCTGTTAACAAGGAAGTGATACACTTTGAAATAGGGCTACTTATTCATTATAATTTCATTCACTAGCTGTCTGCATTTATTTTTCTAGGCCCATCCCTCGGTTCGTGTCAGAGGAACAGAACACACATACACACCTGTGCTGTGTCAGGATGAGAAGTGTTTAGGGCAGGAAAAAGGAGTGCACATGCACTGCCCGCTCTGTTCTGTGGCCGAGGCTTACCAAGATCTCGTCATCCTGCGAGCTCACTTCCGCATCAAACACGTGGACAAAGGCATTGACTTTGCAGGTGAGGCACAATGAGACTATAGACTCACATGTGATTCATGTCCTTTGGAGACATTTTGTCAATTTCATTTTTTATGGACAGGCTTGAAGGTGCTGCGCTGCTGTATCCATTGTGAGATTGTGGGCACTATTAAAGGAGAAAAACGGTTTAAAGGTGCACACTGGCACTGTTACCGCTGTAGAAATGGTTTCAACAGGAGGGACGAGGCCATCAAACACTATAAAACACACTTCCGAAATCCCCACACCACATTCCAGATCCAAGTCACACAGGTAAAGGTGGATAACCCGGAGTTAAATCTGTTTTCCACTTTGGATATGGCTTTTTATGATCATGTTTGCGCATGTGCTGTCCTAGAATGTGAACTGCCGACAGTATTATGGTGAGAGCTCAGAGGCTCATGCTAAAGCCTATGAAGGGCTGGCGGTTAGTCTTGGACTGGGTGGAGATGGCACTAGCATTGGATCCATCCTGACCACTGGCACTGAAACCCTACTGACTGTGGAGCCAAAGGTAGACAAAATCACAAAGCTTTATTTTGGGCATGAACCGTTTTGGTGTTTGCCTTGAAGTATTGTTGTTGTCCTCTCCTTTCTGTGTTTGAAGGAAGACGGTGAGAGAAATGGAATCCCATTAGGTGCTGAGGAAGAGGTGGGGTCTTCCCAGAATTCATCTGATGGGACTCAGACTCTTGTTCTTATGGACCCTGATGGACAGGGAAACAGTGTGATCTATGATACAGCTACTGGTATCCTCACTGAACAGGTAAACATTATTAACGTGAATCATTGAACATATCACTATTTAATGGCATTTCATGATTAATGTTTTGTGAAACCTCAAAATTACAAACAGTATAGAAGGTGTGACTTATTATTAATGCAGCTCTGCTATTAGTATTCCTTACATACACTACTATTCAAAAGTAAGCGACAACATGAAAAATTATTAGCAACCCCCAAATTTTTAACAGTAGTGTACATTATTCATGTACTTTATTCAGTCTTCTGGTTTTGTAAATCTCCTGTAAGAGCTGTCAAAAAATGTTTTTGTTGCTTTAATTTCAGGAGGCAGAAAGTTTGGAACAGACCCTGCTACAGAAACGACTCCTGGAGCTCCACCAGCAGATCGACACACTACATCAGGAGAAGGAGAGTATGGAGAAGACACTACGAGCTGAGATTAAACAGCTCAAAGAACAGGTATACCTGCTTAATCTCCCTCTTTCTCTCTCTCTCTCTCTCTCTCTCTCTCTCTCTCTCTCTCTTGCTCTAAAATCTGCATTAATAACAGCATTAGTCTGCTATCAACGACTCAAGCCTCCGTTACTCACTCTAAATTGATGTTTTGGAATAGGACTGGACGATTAATAGAAAAGAAATTGAAACCGAAATTCAGAACCTCTACCCGACGTAATTTTCCCATGTTGGTTATTTCGGTTTTTAATCCTGTTAATACTTTCCCCTTAAAAGCATACTACCGCTTGTATAGTTGGCGCTATATGGACGTGTATGACCATTGCTCTCGCGTCTTTTGCAGCGTCTCGCACGTGAGTGTCGCGTTAAAATAATTTAAACTTTTACACGTAGCGCCGCTCATTAATGTCAGTTTTAATTCAGTGGACTAATCAGAAGACCCCGGAGGCAGGGCAAGCGTTGTGAGCTTTTATTTACAGTAGCAGGTTGGCATGGCAACTTTTGTATTTGCAACATGGCGGAGTAGGGATTCTGTGCTGTGCTTTATTTTATAAAAGCATTCCTGAGCGCTGCATACCGCGGTTTTAGATGCAAAGACACGTTCTGTGTGAATGACCAGTAAGAATCTAGAGTAGCCTAAATACTTAAAGGGGTCATATGATGCTGCTAAAAAGAACATTATTTTGTGTATTTGGTGTAATGAAATGTGTTTATCGTCCTCTTTTAGAAGGCCAAACAAAGTGGTTTCGCTTTCACAACGAAACACAGCGCCTTCACGGCATGGCGGCGGCAGCAACAACAATACTACAGCGAGAATAAAAGTTACGCCTTCTTTCTTTGCGTGAACATTTGGGCAGCGTTATGCAAATCTTCCCACATCGTGACGTAGACATGTGGGGGCGTGTTAGAACGAGCCGTTTTAGGTAGGCGTGGTTGACTCTTAACTTTTATAAAGAATATCTCTTTGGATTTGAGACTTTAGTCTTTGCAACTTTACAGATCTTCTTTATGCACCAAGAGCTTGTAACACTTCAAAGAGAAAGGAAAAATTAAAATCGCATCATATGACCCCTTTAAACAATTAGAGTGACAGTACAAGATCAATGAGATGCTGTCCATTTCTCTTAATCGGCAGTATTGAATTTACATTCATTTTTTAAAACATTCTTCAGTTATTATTTTCTACTTTACACATTGCATTATTTAAAATAATACTCATTTACAAGAGGTATAAGTTATTTTCCACTTTTCGCATGACAATATTTAAAATGTATTTTGTTTGCAAGAGATGCTGGTTATTTTCTACTTTTGACATGGCAATATTCATTTATTTTGTTTGCAAAAAATGAAAGTTATTTTCTATTTTTTTTTTATTTCTTTTTTTTTCGTTTTTTTTTAGAAAACTTCATAAGACTTCATTTCGAGCAATGTGTGCTTTGATTTCAATTGTTCAAAATATTCAACAAATAACCATAAACAGTTTGTTTCCTTCAATTATTTTAAAATCACAAAAATGCACTGTTATATCCTGCCTTTAAGTATATTTACAGTGCAAAACTTTAATGAACTATGAGGGCATAATAATAACAAATAAATTTTTTTTATTAAAAATAAAATAACTGTTCAATAATCGTAATCGAGGTAAAGTGTTCAGTTAATCGAGGTTTGGATTTTAGGTCATATCGCCCAGCCCTATTTTGGAATTAGCAACAGAGGCATGTGATGATTTGCGCAAGAAATTAGTCCTACACGCAAGTGTTTTAAGGACTAAAATTTGATGAATGTCTTGAAATACATCATCTGAACAATTTCTAGAGGTGTGGTAACCATAGTATTAATGGAATAATTGACTCTTGTCTGTTGAATTATTAGAAAATAATGCACAGCCAAGGTGTAACGGCCACCTCGGGTGTACAATATTTTCTAATAATTCAACAGTCCATCGTCAGTTGTTCCTTACTTATTGTATTTCTAAATTAAGTCATTTTTAACTTTCATTGATGTAAAATTCAATGTTTTGTTTCATTTTTTTATGTAGCACATTTGCAGTATGTTTTCATTTACCACACAATAAATTGCCCTGTTGTATAAACACATAGGACACACGTTGACAGTAAATACACTTATTTGGTTAGCCAAGCAAGCAATACAACAAATAAATATTTAAATTACCATTCTGGAATAACAGTTCAAACATAAAAGTTTTCTGTTCATCAAAAAAGTTGTATTTTGTATTCCTCAGAAATATTACCTGTTTTGAACATTGATAATAATAAGAAAATGTTTCTTAAAGGGGTCATATGATGCGTTTTAAATTTTTCCTTTCTCTTTGAAGTGTTACAAGCTCTTGGTGCATAAAGAAGATCTGTAAAGTTGCAAAGACTAAAGTCTCAAATCCAAAGAGATATTCTTTATAAAAGTTAAGAGTCAACTCAAGCCCGCCCGCCTCTGCTCACTCTAGGCCTCCGGCCTCCGTTCACTCTAGCCCGGCCGCTAATCACTCTAGCCCACCGCCCTCCGCTCACTCTAGGCCTCCGGCCTCTTGCCTGCCGTATGTTTCGTTGTGAAAGCGAAACTACTTTGTTTGGCCTTCCAAAAGAGGACACGACTAGAAATCAGTGGTTTTGACATTTCTCCGATCAAAAATGCAGATATGGTTTTATGTTTACACGGCGCGATGCAAAGCAACTCGTAAAGAGACAGTATAAGTCATTATGATCCGTAATTATGTCCCCACTGGATGCAACAAATGCCAAAATATGCTTTTTAGCAACATCATATGACCCCTTTAAGCAGCATAATAGAATGATTCTGAAGGATCATGTGAAAATTATGCAAGTATGCTGAAAATTCAGCTTTGCTGTCACAGGAATAAATTACATTTCAAAATATTCTAAAATAGAAAGCAGTTGTTTTAAATTGTAATAATATTTCACAATATTATCATTTTTACTGTATTTTTTAATCAAATAAATACAGCCTTGATGAGAGACTTCCTTCAAAATGTTATCAACTTTTTAAAGGTAGTGTATGTTCATCCATCTAGAAAGTAGTTTCACCTGCAAATGACAATGTGGACAACTTTAATATATATATATATATATATATATATATATATATATATATATACTTTGGATGTGACTGTGAGCGCACGCGCCCCTGGAGAGCACGAGTACCGAATGGCTCAAAAAGATGTGAAAATAATACATTTTTGTGACGATGCAACAAGACAATTGACAATTCTGTCAACTGTGTCCCGAAACGAGAGCTAAAGTCTTCTATCGCAGCGTGCAGCAGCTCTAGATGCGTCGACTTGCAGCAGCTCTAGATGCGTCGATGTGAAACGAAAGTCAAAGAGAGAAGACCCGGTACAGCTGAATCACCGCTGTTTTCATCTGATGGTTTGTGTGGATTTATTTACTCATCTTATCTAACCTACACACTATATTGAATAAAAGTTTTGCAGTAATTTGCCTCATTTTAAAGTTGAAAGCTGCGGGAATGAGTAATGCGATCTATGCGCAATCCCGCAACGAAATTCAGGATCTGATTAAACATAATTCTATACAGAGAATTGTGAAATAGATTTTCATGACTTTTCAAAAACTTTTTGAGTTTATTTATTTTTACAAAACTTTCTAGGCCTGGAAATTGCTGTTCAATGACTTTTCCAGGTTTTTCATCACCGTACGAACCCTAATGTGATGATCGGGTGCGGGTCGGGTGCGGTTATCTAAATCAGACAAAAATACAGGTGCGGGCGGTTGGCGGGTGGATAATTTATTTGAAGCTGCAGATTCGGGTGACGTTTTAGCTCATCCACGCATCACTAGTGTGTTCACAACAGTACCACGATGCATGCGTGTGCATTCCTCTTCTTGCAAACAAGGCGCAGTGCTTCCAGGTTCTACGTCAGAACGCCGGCTCCTGTGTCAGCAGCATCACACGCATGCGTCATGATACTCTCATGAATGCGCAAAAGAGAAGAAATTATTGAATAAAGTCATTATTTTAGATTTCTTTGTGCACGAAAAGTATTCTCATAGCTTCATTAAATTACAGTTGAAACACTGATGTCAAATGGACTATTTTAATGATGTCCTTACTACCTTTTTGCGCTTTGAACGTGGTAGTTGTTGTGTTGCTGTCTATGCAGGGTCAGAAAGCTCTCGGATTTCATCAAAAATATCTTAATTTGTGTTCCGAAGATGAATGAAGGTCTTACAGGTTACTAATTAATGACCGAATTTTATTTTTGGGTGAAGTATACCTTTAAATGCACCAACTGAACTATCAATTTGACCGAATCAGTCAAAGCCGTTTTCCAGTCACCGACTTGCTGAACCGAGAACCGTTGTATTTTAAATCATGTCTGGCCAAATTCCCTTTCAAGGAAAGTCTGTTCATTTGGCGGCCACATTTGCAACGCCTCCGGGCAGCTATTTTGGGCATCCAAGACCAAGTCCTATCTAAATGAATGGGGTAATCCTGAAATCTCAAAAACTGCCTCCTGAACTCACAATTAAATTACATATTTCAAATCAGCAACAAAATCTGAAATGAACTGGCCCATGAATGTTGTTCCTTATGCTCAAATAGCGTTAAAAGCTTATTTTTCAGGCTAGACCAGCCAATGCGCATGTGCAGTCATAATATTTGGGAACTGGAGCTTCCAACGGCAGCTGTAGTAACGCAGTGAATTTACCAATCAGCGATTGGCTCTTTCATTTAGAAGGTAAAATTAAAACAGAATAAAAATACTTATTTCAACATATTAATAAAAACTACAACTGTGAACTACCTACAATTAGGGTAATGAATGACTTTGTGTGGTTTGTTTTCTTATTAATATTTTTTTTTTTTTTTACTGAACACTGCTGACTTTAATCCCATTACTGTTGCCACTTTCATAAAAGCAATAAGAACACTGTAAAGTCACTGTAGCACAACCTCACTTACTGAGTTGGCAGTTTTTATCTGTTACTGTTGCATGATTCTAAATGGCCCATCTCACTCTGCTACAGGGTCATAGTGGACCTGTTAAAGATGAACGTTGCTCCTCTGGCAGTCTTTCAGACCCTAAAGACCATGTGTGCGGGACAGAAAGTCTCTGAAACATCCACTGGTGACACATCCACAGCGTCCCACACTGCCACTGCACCTTCTGAGTCTAGAGGTGAGTGCTACACATGTAAAAGTCATGGAGACCAAAGCATAATATGCCACAGAATTGCATGGTTTGAGTTGGAAAATAGGTGATGTCAAATACAAAGCAACATCTATGCTGTACTGATGGTACTTTTGAACTCCGACTGTCCTTTTTGGTAATCTGTGTGTGACTTCCTATAGAAGAGGAGGGTGTGGTCTCAGGAAACAGCTCTAAAACTGCAGCCCCTCCCTCTGCATCTGTACCCCGCCCACCTAGGGGAGGGGCTAAGATAGTGGTCTACAGTGCGGGTGACACGGGTGCTCCTGTATCTCAAGGTTTTTCTTCTCTCCCTCTTTTAGCTTGGTTCTCTCATCCTTTTTTTAATCCTGATGCTTGCGAGTTCAAGGTCTTCTCTTCACTCCCATGAACTATTGCAGCACATTTCTCATGCTGACATAACTAATTCCTGCCTCAGCTTCGTAGTGCCGTATATTTGTTCTCATTCTCATGCCTCACCGATTGTGCCTGCGATTTGCGGGCTCAATGCTCCGAATATGGGGGTGAAATGCCCCTGATCTGCTTCCTTCATGTGTCTCATGGACTCTGTGACTCTCATCCAGCTATAGAGTCCTCTGCTTCTCATGGTAAATGAATGTCTGTTAATGGCGTGTGTCGAATGTGACACTGTAATGCACTAGTAAACCAGTATCCTGCAAAATTGTCTGCAACCAACATTGAAAAGCATGCATGTGACTGTCAACTTCATAAACGGATGGTGTTTGCCACTTCATCGCTGATTTTTGCACTGAATACAACTGATTTGTTATAAATCATCTTGGTGTCGCCTAATGAACAAAATCTCCCTCATATGTGACCTTCTCCATCATTTTGAGTTGTTTTGACCCCGAAACACATTTCACAGTTTTAGTTCTCTACTGGTGTAATTATATTTATACTTCAAACTGGTCAAAATATAATAATTTAAATGGTCAAGCATCAAATAAATAAAATAATGATTTTCTAATAATATATTTTAGTGATATGCTCTTCTTTAATCATTTCCTACCTAACAAGCTGTGAACACTGAATGACTTTCCTTTCCGATTTTTTATTTATTTTTCTTTTTTTTTCTTTTTTTTTTTTTAAACACTGACAGATGATTACATGAGATATGAAATATTTTGGTAAACTGTTGTGAATCCTTGAACATATACTCTGATGTTTACTTATTTTTTTCATGCTATAGAGCGCAACAGTCAGAATCGTATTTGTTTTCTTCACAGGGGAATTGATTTTTATTGATAACTTACAAACTTTTACAAACCAGCTGTGAGCTACGTGGTTGTTAAAGGGGTCATATGATGCTGCTAAAAATAACATTATTTTGTGTATTTGGTGTATGCGTCATATGACCCCTTTAATCTGCTGAAGCTGTCAGCCCACATTATTTTAACTTATTTTTTTAAATAATTGTTTTGTGGAATTTCTCATGGAGAAACTATTACCCATGATTCCCATGATTAGAGCTGAAAGAACTTTTTAGTTCTTTCATGAAGCACTGTGAATGACTTGATAGAATAAGTCTTATATGTATGCATATTTTAATCAATCTTTAAATCAATAGTTTTATATTTATCAATCATTTTTATTTCAATTACGTTATATTGCTTCATGGGATTGTAATGCTTTCCCTCATTAAAGCTTATAAGTGCACAGTCTTGTCTTTTTGTCTGATTTTCAAATACCCTTTCGCCTCATAGCTGGTTGGTTTGGTTCATGGCTCTCAACTCTTTAATGAAGACTTTTTAAAATCCCTGTGTGAAAAACAAATACTTCGAGAACCAAGGCCACAGAAGTTGTCCGGTGTTCTGACGATTTGTGCTACCCACTCAGATTGTGCTACCTCTCATTAAAAAGATTGGTAGCACAAATCGATAGCAAAAAATGCTACCTGTCAGATTGTGCTACCAGCATCTTATTCATGTGGTTTGAGGCTTTTTTAATGTCCATACCTACCCCTACCCTTCCCTACCTACCCTTACCCTAAACTTGCCCTTAAAACAATGCAAATATATTTTTGGTAGCACAATCTGATAGGTAGCATGTTTCGTCAGTACACCGGCACTGTTGCACTTATTAACTAGTAGTTAAAGCAGAATAGATGATCGGTTCATGCACGTATGCTGCTGTTTGAACTGAAGCATCATCATTGGTTTGCCACACCACATTAAAACATGTCAGACAGACATTTATTTTTGAATTTCACAACTGAAAAATCTAATTACAAACAAGTTGCATCTTTCAACTCAAAATGATGGAGCCCGTCACATATGTGTGTGTTTTATGTGTTATGTTTATGTGCGTTTCTTCTGTGTGTGTGTGTGTTTGTGATTTAGTACGCAGTAAAACAAGTTCAGGGCAAGGGGAGAAATCGGCAAGAGATGGTTCTAGCCAGCGAGTGCCACGGCAGGTCAGCGCCACCAGGGGGCAGAAGAGCGCCAAGAGCTCAGGCAGCAGCAGCTCGTCTTCTCAGCTCACCTCCAACTGAAGTTCTTCATGAATTACCAAACTTTCTTGAATTAAACTCCGTTTTTCTGTTGATGAAGGTTCCTGTAGTATTGGAAGAAACTTTTTCACTGTAAACAAAAATAGTTAAGCCATTTTAGGGATCTCCCTAGATATCTTCAGTGTTTCACTGAAGCCCTCTTTGCATCAAATTTGCATCTCCCCCAGAGAGACTATAACTGAAGTATGCCATATTTTCCACGGTTTAGTTTACACGTTCACACCAAAACCATTTGAGAAAAACACAGATAATCTTTTGCTATCTTTAAACCATCCACTTCTACAGTTCGGCAGCTTCGGGCTGCTGTGAAGCACATCTGTTTTAAACTGTTTATGTGTAAGACACTCAGAATTGTCTTGGTAAGCTTCGATGTCTAGATGGACATTATTTTCTATTATTTTCATTTATGAAATGTTATGTTATTTTTTTTATGTTATTTCTTTTTATTTCCTTTTCTTTTATTCTTTTTGTTTTTCAAGTGCATCTCCAGTTTTAAGTAAAAAATATTCCTCTTTAAAACCGATTGTTGTATTTCGCACTTTAATTCTTTACATTATTACATTACACACTTTGTATAGTTTGCATAAATCATGTGTAAAGCAAAATATGAGAGTGTATTTGTTTTTGATGAAAAGTCTCAGTTAATGTTTCATAAGCACATACATAAGCATTTAATTATGCGGTTACTTTGACTGTGGAATTGTGAATGCTCTCTTCATTCATTTTGACCAGAATGAACTCTTGATCAGCATACTTCACATTTCATGTTAAATGAGATGGAATTTGCTGCACCGTCTTCCTCTATAGAAGCTGTACAGTTTAAGACAGGGCCAGGGTCAACGGAAGCACTTGTGTGTTTGTACACTGCACTTTCTTTACTGTATGGTCCCACTTGGTGACTGTGTAGGCCAAGGTAAGACCTCTTGCTATTGAGACGTGCACAATGGTTAAAGACTTCTCTTCAGTAATGAGCTGCAGCTAAAGTTTTGATGACGTGAACAACTAGAGAATGGCGTGTTAAGAGTTCAAATCATGTCAGTCTAAATTAAGCCTCTAAGATCAAATGGTTTTTAATCATAATGTGAAAGCAGTCGTAAAGGATCATATACTTGCAGAAAGACTCATTGAAGAAAGAAAATGGGAAGACTTTCAGGTTTTCTTTTAGGCTCTTAGATGATTTTTGTTTGTTTAGCATTTCTTTAGGATTTTGTTTGACTGGTAAACAGGTTCAAACTATCCAAATGAGTTTTTCAGTTTTCAGGACTGATATTAATAAGAAATTTCTTAAAGGGATAGTTTACCTTCAGTTGGTCCCCATTGACTAGTGTTTTTTCCCCATACTATGCGGAAGTCAATGGGGACCAGCAACTGAAGGTGAGCTATCCCTTTAAAGCTCCAAATCATATTACACTGAAAAACTTTTTTTTTTATGTGAAAGATTGGAGTGCATTTTACAAGAAAATACGGCTCAGTCTTGATAGTTCAGAATTTCATGTTTAATTCAGTGTGTTAGGTGCCGTTGTTAAATTGAACAAAAATTACAAAGGAAAATCCACACCAATTATGTTTATTTTTTTATTTTTCCCCTCAGTGTAGGATGATTTTCGAAGGATTGTATGATACTGTAGACTGGAGTAATGGCTGCTGAAAATTTAGCTTTGCCATCTCAGATATTACATTTTAAAATGTATTAAAATAGAAACCTTTTTTTATTTACATTGTAATATTTCACAGTATTGCTGCTTTGTTTTTTATCGAATGAATTCAAAACACGGTTCTTCAAACACATTAAAAAATCAGACAAAAATATAGCAGATAAAAAAAAAATTCTTTATTGGGATATGACAGAATTCCGATTTTTATTACAGTATGGCCCAAATTCACTTGCATGAACAAAAGTGGCTTATGGCTCTACTTTTCATTGCTAAATGGCAGATGGACAGTCTTCTCTTTCGAGGTCAGTTGATTAAAACGAATTCCTTCAGATGTTCCTGCAAATATACGGCCATAAAAACACATCTCATTGCACATGTAAGCCTTTCAACCGTTTATTTCTTTTGTCACTTTGAGAGAAAAAACTTTCTGAACCTGAATAATAGGACTTTCCTTTGCCATTTTAATGAAAGACAGTTGGGTTTGTTGACTAGGCCTACCTATATGGTTACCATATTTTTGGGCAAAGTGTTTTTTATTTTTATTTTATTAAATGTGTATATTTTTAAGGCTTCTCAAACACCAACCTGCCGCTGGTCGGTCAGATCTTGTGTATGGATCTCAGTAGGCCTATGTATTGATCTCTGTCTCTGTATATGTATGCAGCAAGCAGACCATGACAGGATGTTTGGACAGGTTGCGAGAGGTTTTATGGTTTACCAATCCAACGATGGTATTGCTGGATTTTTGAAGGGTATGGTCCATAAGTAAAGAACAGAGCAGTGCACATGAGGGGAATAGAAAAGAAAAGCTTTTGTTTGCCAGACTGAGAGAGATGAGGACAAAGACATACACTTGTGGAGAAAACGAGAAAGAAAAAGAGCTTGAGGGGCTGGAGCTAAAGAAAATAGGTGTGTGCGCGCGCGGGGAAGGAAGCGAGAGAGAGAGAGAGAGTGAAAGAGGTGAGCTGAGGTTTTAATGTGGCCGTTTGTCGTGTTTATGTGGCTGTGGCGCTGCTCTCTCCTGCTCTCTGTATTGATGGCAGTGCAGCCAGGCTGTAATTGATGGCGGCATATTGCTGTACTCCGGCAAGTGTAATGGGCCGAGACAGAAGCAGAGAGCACAGCAGGAACCCTCTTTAACCCTTTACGTTCTCACACACTCAAACCCTGAAATATGTGTGTGTTTGTGTCTCTGTAGGGAAGACGACGGGTGCCACATTTCTACTACAGGTAACTCCTCTCCCTATTTTGTAACCCCGCGTTTGCTTTAAAGCATTAATTATCAATTCAAAACACCTTGTGCATTGTGCAAGTTTTGAAGTTGCACACAAAAGACACAGTTCTTCCCTTCCGTGGAGCTCTTCTGCTGCCATAAAACAAAATGCTTATATTGTTACATTGTTTAGTTTGCTTGTCTGCTTTGTTCAGATGTACTTTTAAAGTGATCCGATACTTGAAAGCTATATAAATCAAACCTATCTTGGTGGAACTGGTGAAAACAGGCAGTCATGTGATCTCTATATGAAGGGACAACCAACTTTTATTAGGCTACTGATAAATGAATCGTTTGAAATGTGTGCGTATCATTTGCAACCCTGGCTGTGAAAACCCAACTAAAGTAATTTTTTGGACTGTTTTCTAAATAAAGTCATCCTTCATAAGGTAAAGAACATTCTGTGAAAATGTAACCTTGATATCTTTAAAGGGGTCATATGACACGATTTCAGTTTTTCCTTTCTCTTTGGAGTGTTACAAGCTCTTGGTGCATAAAGAAGATCTGTAAAGTTGCAAAGACTAAAGTCTCAAATCCAAAGAGATATTTTTTATAAAAGTTAAGAGTCAACCACGCCTACCTAAAATGGCTCGTTCTAACACGCCCCCACATGTCTATGTCACGATGTGGGAAGATTTGCATAACGCCGCCCAAATGTTCACGCAAAGAAAGAAGGCATAACTTTTATTATCGCTGTAGTATTGTTGTTGCCGCCGCCGCCATGTTGTGAGAGGAAATACATCAACTTCGCTCTGTGGATCGCCAGATCGGCTTTCACCGTGGACGAAGCGGAGTCCAGCCTGAGGTCGTCACATGTGGTTGCCGCGAGCCCGCCGGACGCTCCTTCGTCGAATCCGCCGGCTGCGCTGTTCTCAAGCCCGCCCACCTCTGCTCACTCAAGCCGGCCTCTGCATACTCTAGGCCGCGGCTCACTCTAGCCCACCACCCTCCGCTCACTCTAGGCCTCCGGCCTCCACTCACTCTAACCCACCGTGTGTTTCGTTGTGAAAGCGAAACTACTTTGTTTGGCCTTCCAAAAATGGACACGACTAGAAATCAGTGGTTAAGTTGTATTTAAGACCATGTCAACGATTTAAATCATAGTGAAATTCATGTCAACAATTTAAATCGTAGTGAAGTTAATGGTTGAAGTCAAGTTTTGATGCTTGTTATCTCATAATTAGATTTTTAGACTTTAGCCTGGATTTCACAGAGAGGGTTACATTTTGTAAAAAGTTCTTGAGGGGTAAAACTTTTGGAAAGAAATTACTGAGTGTGTCTCTAAAGAAATATTTTGGGTTAAATATGAATGAACTGACCTCTACATCTGCTAAAATTAAATTATTAAAAGTAAAAAAAAAATTATCTCCGTTTTTATAAAATATTTTATTTGTTTACACAATTTGTCTTGGTGAATCTACCAGTACACAGAGAAAAAAAAAGATATAAATAAGAAGTAAAATAATATTTTGGGTATTGCACGTTTTCTTCTTTTTTGATTGCACAGGGAAGAACTTGGGGGCATTTTAACTGTTCATGAGTTAGACGGTTTGTATTTTTCTTGTGGCCTTTTTTTTCTCTAACCTGGAATATTTCTTTAAGACATATGTGACCCTGGACCACAAAACCAGTCAAAAGGGTCAATTTTTTGAAATTTAGATTTTTACATAATCGGAAAGCTGAATAAATAAGCTTTCCATTGATGTATGGTTTGTTGGGATAGTTTGGCCGAGATACACATTTATTGGCTATTGCTACAAATATACCCCAGCGACTTAAGACTGGTTTTGTGGTCCAAGGTCACATATTTGATGACTGGAACGCATTAGCTTGATTGTATTTTTAGTAAGTGACATCAGTGAAAGGTGTTTGTTTATTTATTTTTTCCTTTCATAGCTTGCCACAGCTCTCTGCAAACTGACAAAAAGGTGAGTCTTGTTTGGGTGGTTACCTGCCTTCCCAAGTAAGCAATAGGGGGCAGTGTGTCTCTACTGGTACTTTTGCGCTCGGATGCTGAGATTGTTGGTACCTCATTTCCCCCTCCACATATGCCCTGCCTGTGGCATCATGCTTCTATGTGTGAACATCTTTGGCAGCATGGAGAGGGAAGGGCCCATCAGCCAGCACGCTCCCTCTGCTATGAACATATTTGTTTGCTTGACTGTTTGTTTCTATTTCTGAGAGTTTGACTTAACCTTAGTCATTAGCAGGGCAGATTTATGGTCATTTTCATTGTTTATTCGCATGTTTATTCATGGGCCTGTATGCTTCCATAGTGGTGATAGTGATAATTTATTCAGAGACGAGAGCTCTTACAATATAGCATATTGCAAGGCTTATAAGTTAACATTGATAATACTAGAACGCCATTGAACAAAACTGTTAAACCACTATTAGCTAATCATAACATATATTTGTACATACATAATAAACATATGTCGATATCCAAGTGTGAACAAGCAACAAAGAACCGTAGGCCTGTATGTCTGTAGACTCACACTGTAAATGAAAAACTA